CGTGAAGTGAATATCCCTGTTGAAGCCACCAATTTCGACAAGCCTTTCGGCCACTCAGCTAGACCCCCTGCCCCGACAAGCCCTCGACAACCTTGCACTCCGAATCTCCATGAATACTGCGACATCTAAGAGTACCGGTGTATCTCGCGCTATCATCGTACGATAGGAGCCCCTATTTTAGTTATGAAGGCCCCTATAGTAACCCTGAAAAGGAGCCCTCAACGGGCCCCGTTCTGATTGCTGGGGGCCCTTATCGTATCTCGCCCTGTCATCGTAGATCTTTCCCTCTCCGCAAGGTCAGTACGGCTCCGGTAGCAAGGCAGCTGTACTGCAGGCATCCGTCTCAACCTTAGTATTTGGGAGTTTCCGAAGCTTAGGAGTACTTTATTTGGGGTCCTTGTAATAAGGATCCTATACTATTGAGGGTACTCTATTAGGGTCCCCTTTTATCGGAAACTCCCATTTCGAGCTCAGGGCCTGATCAGAAGCCAGGTGAGGTGCCAAGGTTTCAGTAATACGGCTGATGATAAAAACAAATCCTGCATTACCCATAATCAGGAGTATACCATCAGTCCCATAGCTTAGGGTCATGAAGGTAATGCAGGATTTATAACATCAACAGTATGGGTACATATCTGAGAAGGAAATTCGGGAGACGGTGTAGAGTTTAATATAGGGGCCGTAATACTTGCCAACACTGTTTTAGGGGTTCCTTGCTACAATTCTAGTATAATGGGCCCCGAAGCCCTATTCTGGTTGTCGGGGCCCCTGTGCTGGGGCTTTGGGGTTTCACGTTCGTGGCCATTGGCTCTTTAGCTTCGTCAATCCGTACTCTTTTCGAGTCAAACCCACGAGTAGCATTGGCTCCTCGGGTAAAGATGCCCCATGTCAGGCAAAGCTCAGCTCTCATTACAGACTACACTATACATCGTATCTTAACACGCAGTCGCTGTATACTGCAATAGTTCCTCTGCCTGCTCATTTTTGATATTTTACATCTATTCCAAAGTTTCCCGAGTCCTAGACACCCAATACCCGACCCTAAACCCTAAACCCTGAACCGTGCCGAAGTCCCCGCCAAGGCTCTGGAAGGGGAGAAGGTCTGGGTTCTCGGATGGAGCGGACAGGCCATTCCGTGCTGGGAGTTTCCGAAAATTACAGTAGAAGCCAGAAAGTTGGAACATCAGTAGCCTCATGCCCTTAAAGTAAAGTAAAGGGAATCCCAGCATGAATCATCCTAAATCCATGTTCCAACTTTCTGGGGTTCACTATAGGGGTACCACATTTTGGGGTCCTTATAACAAGGATCCTACTATTTAGGGGACTATAGTAGGGTCCCCTATTTTCGGAAGCTCCCTGCTGACCTTCGAGGATTTCTGGATTTCTGGGGGTCGTTGGGCTTAAAGTTTAGGGTTTAGGGACTTAGGGTTGCGGATTTAGGAGTTGGGGACTTCGGCTCTAGGGTTTAGGGACTTGGAGCTGTGTTGGGGGTCTAGGCCAACGTGTGGGATGTTCAGTTGTTTCGAAGGACAGGCAGCAATCCTGAAATGTTCAAGCCCTGCGCTCGCAGGGGCTTGAGTACAGACGCCTGAAGTACGAAACTGGGGTTCGCGAAGTGCAGCTTTCTAAGGGGTTTCGGGTTTAGGAGTCCTCGTTATTTCACACAGGGGAAGTCAGAATGCTGGGAGCCCTGACCCTTCCCGAAATACTGCGACTCTGAATCTGGATTTGAATTTCCGTTTTAGGGTCGTCAGCAGCAGGAACAAGATGGGAGACGAGGGAGCAGCTGCGGGGATCAGAAGATTGAAGCAAGGAAGGACAAGCTACTATACTGTAGGAGCTTGGATAGTAAGCCATTTCCCTAAATCACGATGTACAACACGGACCCTATGGCCAAGCCCTTCCCCAAAGCCTAACAGCTAGATGAACAAGCCTCCCTCCAAGATGCCAAACGACTCTAAACCCTAAGCCCTAAACCCTAAACCCAAAACGAGCAAGACCAATTAAGGTTTAAGCTCTCTTGGAGTATCAAGCAGGAAAATGGGTCTTCAAAAAAGTAAACTCTCAAGACATTTGATTGCATGTGTCTGTATGTATGTATATATATATATATATATGTGCACAGTGTGTATATGTACATACATTCATGTATGCATATACATTATCGTATCATGTCTCTACATATACTTATTTTAGTGTGTGTGTATATATATATATATATATATATATTTATTTATTTATTTATAAATACACCTTCAGACAGATTTCAGGCGATTTCTACTCTTCAGACTGCGAAGCTGGCGCTCGCAACACTGAGGTGCCTCCGCTTTTGGCCCCCGCTGCGGTTTCGGCTTTAGGCTTTGGGGTTTAGGGTTTTTGCGCTTAGGCTTTGGGGTGCAGGTCATGCTTGTGCATGTGGCTTCATAGAAATGATCAGTGGCGAACTATAATGTGCATGTGTATGTGTAGATGAATACATAAGAATATATACACAAGCTGCATACGTACATGAACTGCGATTGAACAGTCGCAGCTATGTGTACAAATGCATTTGCGTATGTACTTGTGTATTGCTTTGGTTTCATCATTTATGCTTCTTGTTACTGTAGCTACCAGCAGTGGGTTGCATATCCGATTCTAGTTATTCTTCGTAAGTCAAGTATTCCACAGGCCATACCCAAACAAGCCCCAAAGCCAAAACACAGAAACCTGGAAGCCCCCACCAAACTAAACCCTAAACCGAGAACTCTAAACGGCTTTGGGGCGGCCGGCTTAGCTTGGCAATCCCCCTGGGTGCAGGGGGTTTATCTGGAGGTAGACAGATGAACTGTTACTTATTTAATGCTTCCAATCGAGGCAGAACTGCAGAATCCTTAGTCCGCGCGATACTCGCATTATGTAGTGGTAGGCACAAGATTCAGATCAGCACTGGCACAAGGGAAAGATAGCCTTTTCTTTGCGAGTGGATGCTGGATGATCCGGTGTGCATTGCCCTTCGGCTCAATGTAGACAAGTTGAAGATCTGTGCATCTTGCGCTTAAACCACATCTTCATTTCGTAAACGTAGAATGCCATAGAGTTTCGGCAATCAGCGTTTAGATCATGAGGACTGGAAGCTGATTTTCTAAAGCACAAGCACGCTCCAGCATAAACCCTAGCCGCAAACCCCCCAGGATCCCGAAGCACGACCCTTTGCAACCGCCGATTGCGCATTGCCCTAACGGTGCTCCTGCTTCGCAAGGCCACCTCCTTACCGTCGTATTGTCCCGTTGTTGCTTTTCTGAGCATCATGGCAGTTATTGCTTATCCTTACCATCGCTGCATTGTCTGCATGATTCGGACTGCACTATTGCGCCCGTTGCAGATTGAATGATGACTGTGGTGTCCCCAATCTCGTTGCTGCCCTTTAGTTGGTACTGCTATTCTCATCCCTAACCCTAGCTCTCAAACCTAAGCCCTGGACTGGACACCAGTGGCAGCGGCAACACCCCTGCTGCTTAAACCCTAATTCCTAGGGCTTCAGGACCTCACTGAGATCTTGTGTTCCAGAGGTCCTGCATTGCTTGAGGGCCTCGGGGCTTTGGTGGTTTCTGGTTTGTCGATCCTTTAGAGACTTCGTGAGCCTCGGCAGTATAGGGTTTTGGATTCAACCCTCAGGGGTGAAGTGGCGCCTTCAATCCTAAGCCCTAGTCTCTGGGCTTCGGATTATGATACAACCCTAAAGCCCTAAAATCCTAAAACCCTAAAACCCTAAACCCTAAACCCCATTGCCTATTATGTACGATGTGTGCAGCCCTGCAGGGCCGGGCCCGTAACCTAAGCACCTGAATGCCAGCGCTTCTGTTCGTAGAAAGGGTGTAGTTCAACTTTAAAAAAAACCTCTGCCGCAAACCCGCGACCTTGCTCTAGAGGTCGGAAGCGCTAGTAATAGTGTCTGATTGTTGTCCCCAGTATAATGGCCTAAAGCACTAGTTTAATTGTTGAGCCCCCCATTTCTTCTAAATTATCCACCAATCCGACAGCCTGCAACCGTCAAGCCCCAAACCCTAAACCCTAGGGTTTAGGGTTTAGGGTTTAGGGTTTAGGGATCATTTAGAGGTTGGCTTAACCTTGGCTTGGACCAGGGCTGACCCTAAGCAAAGACAGTTTGGAGGCCCTGAAACCCTCGACCTGAAGAATTTAGGCTTAAGGGTTTAGGTTATGCCCTGAACCCTGAAGTTCCGAGTCCTCAACGCTGTGGGAGCAGAGCACATCAAGACTAGGTAGTAATAGTAAAGTAATAGTAGCAAGAGTAGTAATAGTAGTAATAGTAGTACTAAGACGAAAGAAAACAACAAGAAGTGCGATGCATGCATATCATTGTGCATAAGCTAGCTTACATATGAGGTTCATGGTCACGGTGCATGATTTCGATGATGGTGATGATGACAATGGTGAGGACGAGCATGATGATGATGATGATCAGGATGATGATGATGAGGGTGATGATGATGGTGATGATGGTGATGATGATGGTGGTGCTGCTGGTGGTCTTGACGCAGAGACGGTGGCGCTGGGATCTGGCCGTACTCATGTTGCCCAGCCCCGCATCCTCGTCTTTAGTAACAAGAGTATGCTTTTCGCGAGTCGTCGTTTGTTTGTTCATCCCTGTATCTTTAAAGTGCAATGTCAGGCTAATCTTCTAGACTTCTGTGTTTTGCAGGCCAGAAAGCAGCCCCTGCTCTCTCGAAGTCAGAAATACATCACTGGGCTGCATGCACCCCGATTCGACCCCAAAGGCTGCCGCAGGTCAGCAGGGGTTTTGGGGGATTGTGGGGGGCAGCGATGGGATCTGAGGATATATGGCAGTTTCCGAAAATTCGGGATACCTTGTTTTGGGTCCTTATAATAAGGATCCTATTACTTCAGGTACTATATTAAGGTCCCCTGTTTTCGGAAACTCCCATATCGGGTTTAATGGCCCGTCTGATCTTCTTGGATGTCTTGCGTCAGGCCGCAGCATGGCATCCGAAAGCTGTGATGAAGTTTCCTGGGCAACAGCCACAGCTGGCATCAGCACGAGACATGATCAGCCATGCGTGACCGACATTACCGATATGTTAAGATCAGTGGGTCGCTCGCCTGTGTTAAGAGTCCTCCTTGTGATGATTGTGTAGATTGTAGGGTCGCGTTGTGTCGAAATGCTCCTCGACTTATGATGCCTTGGTCTGGGTCATCATCAACACCACCATCAGCAGCAGCATCATTGTCGCCGTCGTCATCTAAGCTTGCTGACACGAAGCTGGTAATCTCAGACCTTTCGAATTCCGTCGGGTCGTGCTTGGTTTCAGGATTGGGCTTTGGGTCCCACATGATACGGGAGTTTCAGAAAATAAGAGAACCCACAACATCTCAACAGTTCTTACAACCTAGGAGCCTTACGACAGGCACATCCAAAGAGACATCCCTTGTATTCTGAAACCTACATGTACCGAGCCTCTGTATACCGAGGCCTCATATTTGGCTCTGCGCTGGGTCAATCCTCTGGCCGAGCTCTGAGTTGGATCGCAAGTCTCTCGCTCCATCTTTCCTCACATACGTCCATCTCTCTCTATTTCCCTTTGTCTCTCTCTCTCTCTCTCTCTCTCTATGTCTCTCTGTCTCTGTTTCGGTCTCCATCTCTCTCTCTCTCTCTCTCTCCCTCTCCATCTCCCGCTCTCTCTCCATCTCGCTCTCGCTTTCTCTCCCTCTCTCTCCCTCCCTCCCTCCCTTCTCTTCAGATCTCTCTGGGACCGCGGCCTGGGTGTTTGCAAACGCTCTGCATCTACCACCCGGATCGTCTACTAAGAAGCCTGGTGACTGCTGAGTTCAGATCGCTTGAGGGTTACGCGTGGGCCGTGCGTCAGCTATAATAGAAAAAAGCAAGGTCGCAGAATTCAGGGCAGCTTCTATGTGACTTATGATTTATGTCTCCCGGAACCCGGCAAAGCCCTCAACCAGGACCTAAACCGAAACCCCATGGCGGTATAAGTATGATATGGAACCCCCAAAACAGTTTAGGTAAGAACCCCCAAAATAGTATAGGTAAGAACCCCCAAAATAGTATAGGTAATTCTTGGGGGCCCCTAGAGTAAAGCGCCTTGCTACGCTTTCGCAGGTCATCCTCGGGCTGAACGAGCAAGTGCGCCTGGAGCAGAGCCCTCCTCTGGCCGACCCTTTGTCATAGTTGGGTAACATTTTACATTTTTATGCTTACTTAAACCCAATAAGGAATAATAGTTGGGTAACATCTTGCATTTTTATGGGTACTTAAACCCAATAAGGAACAGAAGTTTAATTTTTTATTCCTATCCCAGCCGTGAACCTAGGAAAAGGAAGACACCGCAAGGAACACGTGGCTCGGCTTTGTTTGGAACTACGGTTGATGATATAAATCCTGCATTACCTTAAGGACCCGAAACAATGGGAATCATGGTGTATGCCTTATTATGGGCCAGGCAGGATTTATATCATCAACCGTAGGTACGATGAACCGTGGAGGTGGTACTGTGGAAGTGCAGGACATTGAGGTAATATAGGGGCCTGAATAATTAACAATACTACGATTTTCGGGCTCCTTATTATGGTCATAGTATAGTATGCCCCAGAACCCTGTTCTAATTCTTACCCATGGGCCCCAAAGTAGTTTTTTGGGGATTGCCTTATAGGATTCCATAGATGAATCCCCAAAAAGGAACTACTTTGGGGCCTTGGCAGCTTCTTGGGGGCTCCGGCAAGAGTTATGCTTACCTTTGGTTAGTAGGGAATGGAAGAACGGTAGTAGTAGTAGTAGTAGTAGTAGTAGTAGTAGTAGTAGTAGTAGTAGTAGTAGTAGTAGTAGTAGTAGTAGTAGTAGTAGTAGTAGTAGTAGTAGTAGTAGTAGTAGCAGCAGCAGCAGGAGTAGTAGTAGTAGAAGAAGAAGTAGTAGTAGTAGTAGTAGTAGTAGCAGTAGCAGTAGCAGTAGCAGTAGTAGTAGTGGCAGTAGTAGTAGTAGTAGTAGTAGTAGTAGTAGTACCCCATTCCTCCATTCCCTGCTAACCAAAGTAAGTATGGTGACTTGGGTACTCGCTGGGCTGAACTGCAAATCTCCGTTGTTTTAGGGGCCAAATAATTACCAATACTATTGTGGGTGTTCCTTAATATGGCTAATGTACCCCAAAACCCTATTCTAATTATTCAGGCCCCGATGTTAAGTGTCGGCATTGGTGGAACATGGTAGAGACTTTGACAGGAGCCCTAAGCTAGGTGAGACGACACCACAGGTGGCTATTGTGTCACATGCTCAGGCTACGCCAATGTTTCCCTAAACCCTAAATCCTAAACCACCCAATCCCTAAACCCTCTAAACCCTCTCTAAACCCCCTAAACCCTAAACCCTCTAACCCCTAAGCCCTCTAAACTCTGAACCCTCTAAACTCTAAACCCTGTAAACTCGAAACCCTAAACCCTAACCCCTGAACCCTAAACCCTAAACCTAAGCGCCTATAGCTCGTGAGGCGCCGCTTTGTGGAGCTTCTCGCCCAGGAGGAGCGCGACAGAAGGCTTCCATCCTGCAGAAGGGTGAGCCCAGTCACAGCCTACATAATTTCCACGACTATGCTACTGCTACTGCTGCGACTACTACTACTACTACTACTACTACTACTACTACTGCTACTACTGCTACTACTACTACTACTACTCCTCGTGCTGCTGCCGCTGCTGCTACTGTTGCTGCTACTTCTGCTGCTGCTGCTACTACTACTGCTGCTACTACTACTCCTCCTCCTACTCCTGCCCCTGCTCCTGGTCCTGTGCTCCTGCTACTGCGACTGCTACTGCTACTGCCAATAAAGATGGTAGTGACAACCATAATGATAATGAGACATACGGCTGATGCCCAAAGTCCTGCATGACTTTGAACATCCCCACGGTTTGCCTGCTTGCCCTAATTTTAATATTGCATTGCCGCAGGGATTAAAACCAAGGCCTGTGCGAATGCCCCAAATCCTGCATGACCCCATGGCGATGTAACTTTGAAACTAAGGGGTTGCTGGGAACTGGACAGTGCGACGTGAGGCATGTGTGATGATCTAGGTCACGCAGGATTTTGGGCATCGACAGTATTACGACCATTTATTACTACCTCTGCTACTGCTTCTGCTTCTGCTCAACACCCTGAAACCCTCTAGCCCCCAAGCGGCATACGGTAGTCACTGCGCTCACCCTTAAAATGAACTAGCCCATCTTGTCGCCCCCCCTTGTCGTAGCCCTCTAATCGCCCCTAAACCCTCAACCCTACTATAATTACCAACATTTTTCTTAGGGTTCCTTACTATAAGTATAGTATAATGACCCCCTAAGCCCTAAACCCTAAACCCCATAATCGCCCCCATATACCTCTCCGACAGGTCGCACCCGCTGATTCGGGCCATTTTCTGGGCTTACTGGCCGCAGTTACTGCTGCTGCGCGGAGCCCGGGGAGATCCGCAACTTAATTAGGGCTTTTGGAGAGTTTTTGCGGGGGCTTTAGGGCTTTAGGGTTGTTGGGCTTTAACGGCGTGGGCTTTGGGGTTTGGACTTTCAGGGGAGAGAATCGGGGGAGATGCGCAGGGGCAGGGTTTATGTAGTGCCGGGCTTTGTGTATACTTCCTGGAGTGCCAGCTGTCACGGGAGCACATCGGCCACAGATCCTATGTAAACCATCATGAAATAGCATGAGGTCCCTAAACGGTGGTAATTCTGAGATCAGGGGAGCAGACGGCAAGCCACAGTGCCAATAAGGCTCAGGGCTTGGCATTCCTCTGAAGGACATGTTACACACATGCATGCATATAGATGCGTATACATACATACATACATACATACATACATACATACATACATATATATATATATATATATATGTAAATTTATATATATATATATATATATATATATATATATATTATATATATATATATATATATATCTATATATATATATATATATATGTATATATATATATATATATATATATGATATATATATATATATATATATATATATGTATATGTATATATTATATATATATATATGTATGTATATACACATGTATACATATATATATATATATATATATATATGTATATATATATATATATATAGATATACAAATTTGCAGAACATTAGGTCGCTAAGCTTGAAGCCGTGAGCCCGGCTTACTTCGAAGCGTGTAGGCCCCTTGCAGTAGAGTCCGCATTCAGAGGCAGTTTTTTCAGGTTTGTGGATACTGCTTGACTAGGCAGATGATATGCCCTAGCCAGTTCTCAAAATGCATGACTCCAAGGACACCGGGGGGGAAGACAATTGGTGAGGACCTCGAGGTATGCAACCTTGATATAGTTATGTTTTTGTATATCATATAGCGCCCTTTGAAAAGACCCCGGACATCCTGAACTCTAATCCCGAAGAGCCTAAACTCCAAAAACCTGGACCCTGGACCCCCAAGCTTCAAGCACAAAGTGATGAGCCGAAACTCTATATATCCAAAGCTGCTGACCCCAAACCGCTAAACCCTAAACCAGTAAGCCCAAAACCCGAAACCCGTAAACCCTGGTTTCGTGCTGAGGCAGACCATGAAGATCAGTCAGTACCTCCTGGGCTGCCCTCTCAGGACTAGCAGAATTCAGCTGCTGAGCGAGAGCCAGGGGTATCAAGTACGGGATAAGCTTGTAGCGGCCCAAGGTGTCTCACGAGAGACTGTTCTTGGTTTAGTGTAACTATTTGGGTCATCGGCTTGTACTTGAATTCATGCTGTGAGCCTCTGATACCCTAAAGCCCAAATCATGCTAAATCCTAAGCCCGGAACGAAGGGCTAGTGTGGAACTGAGCTCAGCGTCCGAACACGCGCCCCTTTCGATTGTACAAGGTGACGAAGGGATCGTGACCTCCGGGCCCGAACCTTTAGGGTTTCGGGTTCAGGATAGACTGTAGGGTTTAGGGTTTTCGGTGGAGTTCGGCTTTAGAGTTCGGAGTTTAGACTAGGGTTTAGGGATTAGTATGGGGTTGAGTTGAGGACCCCAGGCACCAAGCCATCACTTTCGCAAGAGGAGCAGCCGGAAAGCTCGCCCGTCTTCAGACCTCGAAAACTGCTTCAAGAGCTTGAAATCCGTTTGATGATAGAAATCATGCATTACCCATTATAAGGAGTATGCCATAATTTCCATAGTTTGGGGTCCTTAAGGTAATGCAGGATTTATATCATCAACCGTCACTTCGTGCTGGAGCCCAGCGCACCGGGCTTCAAAGTATCATTTCGGAAAGAAAACCTTAGGATACAAAAAGGCACAGAAGCATAAGCATTTTATAGGGATATCCCTACCATGATGGGCTTCCTTACAAGGGGGTTTATATGGGATATCCCTATCCTAATTTTTGCTTATGTGCTTTTTTGGTGCCCTAAAACCAGTACCCTACCGCAAAAGCCCTAAATCCTAAACCCCAGTCCCTAAAGCCCCCAATCCCCAAAGCCTTAAGCCCTATAAACAACCTCAGGGCCCTAAAAATAGGCCCTACCCCTAAGCCTCAAAGCCCTCAACCCTAAACCCTAAATTAAACCCCAAACACCAAACCCTCAACCTTAAACCCTAAACCGTAAACCCTAAAAAAGAAAAAAAAACAAAAAAAAGCTTTCAAAGCCGCCAGTTGAGGCCTGCTGTCGCCATTTATCCTTCAGCGGGTCCTCGTGTTTCAGGAGGCCAGAAGGACCAGGATCCTCCTTGTACCCTCAAATAGGGATAATACGGTCCCAAATAAGGGGCATTTAGGGTCTAATAGAGGGTAGATGGAGGGTCTAGGGATATTCGACGGTTTTGGGCGTGAGGTCCGTTTTGTGCGAGTTCCTTCATCGGGACGATAGGAGGATCCCTTTAAGAGCTACATGAAAAGGGACTCTGTGGCTCTGTAAACGGCCGTAACAGGTTGAAGTTTAGGGGTGCAGGCCCTTTGGACGGTAGTTATCGGGTTTGGGCTCCGAGGGTTCTACTGGGGTTCCAGTACGGGGGTAGCGATGTTTGGGGCTTCTGGGGCGACTTGGTGTGTCGTGCAAGACCCTAACCCAGAGAGCTCAATACTCCTTAATTAAGGAATATTGCTTAACTCAGAATATGAATCCCCTTATAATTTAAGGTATATTCCTCAATTAATCAAGGGTTATTGGGCTCTCTGGGAAACCCTAAACCAACAGAGGCGCAGAATGATGGGAAGAAGCTGAGCTCCGACGCAGGGCACTCGGACTCCACGAGCTGTTGCGGTCCACGAAGCTCGCCGAAACTAAGCACGTTGTACTGTACTATAGCGGCCTGAACATTTTTGGGGCTCCTTGCTATACTTTTAGCATGAAATACCCCAGGACCCTATTCTAACTGTTATAAGAGCCCCTGTACTATATATTAACCCCTGAGAGGAACCGTTATGATACCTTTGAAAGGGACCCTATTCTGATTATCAGTGCCCCGACATTACGCACTCTAAATAGCATAGGATCCTTGTGATAAGGACCTCAAATGGGCACAATCATCGGAAACTCCCAAATGCTAAGGCTCAGACGGATCCCATTAAGGCCCCTATAGCTATGTAACCGAGGTGGCGGCTGCTGGATTTACTGCCGTCGCCGGCCTCATCAGTGGTATGCCCAGATTGTGCCGAGAGGGGTTTGGGGGCCAGGGTTCAGGGTTTAGGGAACCCTAAACCCTAAACCCCTAAACCCTAAACCGTAGTTTGTTATGACATGAAGTCGGAAATCCGGCGTTACTGAGTGCACAGTGTCACCGAAGAAGCAAAAGCATGCTAGAATTCGGGCTACTAAGAAGCAGCCACGTGCCTTAGCAATGAGCAGACGTTGATTGGGGTTTAGGGTTTGAGATTCAGGGTTTAGAGTTTAGGGTTTTGCCATCGGACAGAGCGTTGGGAAAAATCCGTATGAGCGCATCGTACTGTGGCGATGTTATGTTAAAGCTTGATTGTCACTGCGTTTCGCCTTCTCGCCCATACTCCTCTCAAGGTTTAAAACAAAAGCTTAGACCCCAAACCCCGAAGACCCAAAGCACTTCACCCCCAAACCATAATCCTAAACCCCTGAACCCTAAACCCCAAACCATAACCGCAGACCTTAAACCGGAGTAGACCCCAACCGCCCTAAACCCTAAACTCCTGACCCAGCGCACCAAAACCTTGCCCGAAATCCCGGAACCCCTGAACCCTACATCCTTAGACCCCTTGCCCCCACAACCTCGGTTTCGGGATTTAGGGTTTAGGCCGGGTGCGAAACCCCAAACCCCAAACCCTAAGCTCAGCTCACTCTTCCTCTTGATCCTCTTGTGAGGCCTGGCGCTCTTCAACCTGCCGCTCGGCATGCAGAAGCGAGCTTCAGTTACAGGGCTTAGGGGTTGTGGGTTCAGGGTTCAGGGTTTGGGTTTCGGCATACTTGAAAAATTTTGGGTTCAGCAGCCACAGGACACCAGCAACAATGCATTCACAGCATACCGCCAGCAGCTGCAACAACCACAGCCACACACCTAACGGCATCAACACTACCATGAACATCACTTACACAAACGCGAAAGTCCCAGCATCCAGTTCGCAACATATCGCCCTACTGGTTCGTGTGTTGTCTTGGTTGTTTGCTCTTTCGGATTCTCAGCTCCTTCAAAGGGATCTATAAGGAATCCCTTAAAGGGATCTATGCGGGTTCCCTTAAAGGGATCTATAATAGGGTTTAGGGTCTCGAGCCACGTCAGAAGGTGGTTGCTGACACAGAACCTCAAGCTGTCTCGGGGCCAACGGTCAGAAGACGAGGGTCCACCGCCACCAGCTGGAGATGCCACAGATTCTTCTTATGGTTTGCTGGAGTGTATATACATATTACATATATATATATATACATATATATATATATGCATATATACATATACTACACGAGACTACACTATACTATGCTATACTATACTATACGTTATTACTATGAAAATATCATTGTATATTGTAGCATATTCATCCCTCTGGTTACCGTGCATTGTTACACGCCCGACGAAGACGCACCACATCAATGACAGCGCGCCCCAGCTCCGGCGTTCTTCTGAGGTTTTTACAGCGTCCTATAAGAGCTTTGTCACGTTTCTACACGCCGCCAAGTCCCGAATTAGCCCTAAACCCTAAACTCTAAGCTGTCAACCTTAAACCAATTTGCATATCCGTGCAAGGTTTTACAACACCCAAGTTGATCTCAGATTGGTCAGCTCCCCAGCAAGGGACTTCAGTGTTTTCATTGTAGGGTCTTGTTGTTTTCATGAGGGTTTACTGCAGTTTGGGTCCAGGTTCCGTTTCAGAATGCAGTTGAGCCCACTTTTTTGAGGAGGCAGGTCTGCCAAAGTCTAGCAGGCCTACGCTACAAGCACAAACATCCGCCTGTTCTGGGGCCTAAATCAGTAGAATAGGGCTTTGGCAACTTTGTAGTGAAACCAACACAAGGAATTCTCGCACCTCGTTATATATATATATATATATACGTATACGTATATATTATATTATATTATATTATATTGTATTATATTATGTTATATTATATTATATTATATTACATTATATTGTACTATGTTATATTATATTATATTGCATTATATCTTATTATATTATACTATACTATAGTATATTATATTATATTATATTATATACGTATATATTATATATGTATATCTGTACGTATGTATGTATGTATGTATGTATGTATGTATGTATGTATGTATGTACATTCATATATCACAAGATAGTAAACAGTTTCAGTGGCGGTGGCGGTGGTGGTCGTAGAACCAACAAGCAGTAGCAAAAGGAGTAGTAGGTATAGTAGTTCAGGAAATGTAGCAGCAGCCAGAGCAGCAAGAACAGTTGCAGAAGCAGCAGTTGTTGTCCCAGCAGGAGTAGTTGCGCCAGCAAGAGTAGAAGTAGTAGTAGTAGTAGTAGTAGTAGTAGTAGTAGTAGTAGTAGTAGTAGTAGTAGTAGTAGTAGTAGTAGTACTAGTACTAGTACTAGTACTAGTACTAGTACTAGTACTAGTACTAGTACAGCAGTAGCAGCAGCAGTAGCAGTAGCAGTAGCAGTAGCAGTAGCTGCTACTGCTACAGTAGCAGCAGCAGTAGCAGTAGCAGTAAGTAGCGGTAGCAGCGGCAGCAGCAGCAGCAGCCGCAGCCGCAGTTGCAACCGCCGCGGCAGCAGCGCAGGCACAGTCGCACTGGCACAGGCACTTGACGTTTCGCAGGTGTGCTTAGCGGCCTCGCTTGCCACAATGACTGCGGCGAAGAAGTAGAACTACATTCAAGTTTCTACACCCTCAATCCCTTTCACACAGAACTCCATCCGACCCTTAAATGGCCTAAAACCTGGTGAAGCGTATAAGTTGCAGGGTTTAGGCTTTGACTCAGGCACGGATTTCGCTGCGGATCCAGGCGGCACTGAGAGGCTGCATTCTCTTCCGCGGCGCGCGGGGCCTAGAGCAGTTGCGCTGTTGATGCTCTGGTACAATATACCCCCAAAGCCTAATTACCATGTTAGGTGCTCCTGGTTATATATATATATATATATATATGGTACAATATACCTCCAAACCCTATCCTTTGTTTATTGTAGTGGCTGCTTGGGGGTTTTGGCCCCACGGACTTGGATTGAGCGGACTTGGGTTGGCAAATTGAGTTCAGCTGTGGCACTTACTTCTGTGTACATTATGGATCCGTGGACTTCGAAATGAGACAAGCTGCCAGCAGAGTGTGTGTGACGTGGAAGAGCGCAGGTTCTAACTATGAACACGGACCTTGCATTGCAGATTCTTGGATTCTGGTACCTTGGTGCCTGTGTTAGTTCTCTGATGCTGGTTTTTGCGGGTAGCCTACGAGAGGACACCAGGAGGCAAGTCCAGGACACGCTCTCTGTGCACAGCCACCGTTCTCTTCACCTTCGTTTCGCCGACCGGGCAGCAGCTTTCACCGCAGTTTCGATCTGAAGTTCCTAAACCCTAAACCCTGAATTTCCTAAACCTGAAGTTCCTAAACTTAACCCTCACTAAAAAAACCTTATAACCCTGAAATCACGGCTTCAAGACCCCAAAACACTAGAGCACCCTCAGCTTGAACTGGTAGCCTAAACCAACCTATAAAGCACCCTACCTTAAACTACCAAACCCTGCATTTTTTGTGGGTTCTTATCATAAACTCTAACATGGAAATATAGGGACCCTACAAAAAACTAGGTTTTGGGAGGTTAAGGTGAACCCTATAAATCATAAAACGAAAATCCCTGGCATCCGCTCAGGTCCAGGGTCTCACTCAAATGCCGGGCGACGACAGTGCGAAGGCCCCGAAGTATGAATGGATGGATGGATGGATGGATGGTATGTTATGTAATGTAAAGGTAATGCAGCGTAATGGTATGCATGTTTGTTTGGTTGCCCTGTTTGTTTTGTGTCTTTGTGTATGTGTACGTATGTATACATCTACATCTATCGCCTTTGTTTTCGAGGCACGGCATCCAGGTCGGATGCAGCCTATGTGTGATGTGACATGACCTGATTTGATTTGATATTTTATGGTATGGCAAGATATGACATGCTATATATGTATATACAGACATACTTACATACCTACATAAATACACACATACATAGTTATGTACGTATATACGCATGCAAGTAGTGACTCATATGGGGATTGCACTGCATGGAGGTGTGTTGCGCACGAAGACGCCGCAAGATGGAACGCAAGTTGCCTGTGCGTGTACGTGTTGCCCAAACAAGAGCGTACGATAGGTGACGGCTTGATCGACAGGGCTGCCATGATCTTTGAGAAGCATGGTTACATGAGAGCCTCTCATGGAAATCTTACAGGCAAGAACCCTCGTCACCAGAATCTCGGAGCACAGCGCTCCTGATTCTGTAGTTGTCAGCATACTTATCGACGTCGAAACCCTTGTCCCGGACATCACGTCGCCCCTCTATACACACCCTGTGCCCCTCCTAGTGTATTGAAGGAACATGGGCCTATGCAAAGATGGTGTGTGTGTGTGTGTGTGTGCGCGTGCGTGTGCCTGTGCGTGTGTGCGCGTGCGTGTCCGTGGCTGTTCGAGTGAGTGAGTGAGTGAGTGAGTGAGTAAGTGACTGTGTGTAGATGAATGCCTCAGCCCAATCGGCGAGTGAGTACTGCTGAGCAATCGGCAATAGAGATCACCAGTATGTGTATGAGTCGGACTAGCATTAGCAGTGCACATAGCAGAAAGTCAGCAGAAATGATAGCAGTGAATGGTGGTGTGCTATGTCATCGTTTTCAGACGCGGCAGTTCGGAACTCCTAGAACCATACTTCCGACGTTGGAGCAGAAACAGGTCGTAAAAGCCAGAGTCTCGTCGTAGAGCAACTTGGTGCAGGCCACGACGCATGGGGAGAGTGCTATCTACAACGTCATCTCCTTCGACGCAGGCAGGCTCTTGCCAGATCCAGACCTGAAGCCTCGCAAGCCTGGTTCTGACACGGCAGCGGCAGGAAGAGGAAGACCAGCAACAAGAACAATAAGAATACTCAGACGAAGAGCATGACTGTGTCAATTAGTTACGCTTGCGACTGCGACTACAACTATCCTCCTCCGCCTCCTCTTCCTACGTACTACTGCTGCACCTATTGCTACTACTCGACCTACTGCTACTACCGCTACTACAGCAGTACGATATTTCGGCTAAGAACAAGCATCACACTTACTTGTTGAGAAGAATGCCCCAAGACATGTCCCGACACGTGCAATCGTCAGCGCCACGCATCTGTTACTAGCAAGGGAAAAAAGCAAAGCATCGCTACAAAAGGTACGTCCATCATCGGCGGCATCGCCCTCGGGCCATCACCATCTTCACTGTCGCCAACTCGCATCATCGCCATCAGACCCATAGTGATAATCGTCACCGTCATCTTAGCTAATCCCCGTTAGTACCATGGTCAGCAGCAACACTACCCGCGAACCGGTGCAGCACAGATAGAACGTATGCGAGAGAGAGCGAGAGAGATGCTCGCCCTCTAGCCTGCTGAAAGACAAACAGGCAGAGCAGCGAGAGAAGTCGTATATAGTCACCAGGTGACAGTGCGGCGATGATTTGGGTGGTTCTGGACGTGGGCAGCCCAGATGTCTCAGTGTCAGATATAGAGCCTCGAACCTGGCAACCAGACCCTAAGCTTCTAAATGCTAAGGCCTGTCCCTAAACTCAACAGCTGGGTATCGATAGCCTCGAGCCTCAAGATCCAAAAGCCTTACGGTTTTGCTCGTATTGTGCAGCAGCACACGTCGTCCTTGGCAGCAGACATACCGCTGCTCCCCATGAGGCGCATCGTGGTACGCAGCATTTCGGTGAAAGCGCGTGTTGAGTCCTTCAACCGGAAACCCAGCAAGTCTCACGCTGAGATGTGGATTCTGCCGATCCAGTTCTTTGCAGCATTCTCCGCTCTTTTCTCACAAGTGGCGCGGGTCACAGACTGCTCTGAGGGCTCGAGAGGGGTCATTATTTGTTTTATATTGGTTTTTATGCTGTAGGATTTAGGAAAAGGGATTGTTCCTGTAGTCTCCATTGTAGTTCCGTTTTTTGGTTAACCAAAATCTCTAGTAGAGGATCCTAAACCTAAAACTGGTTAACCAAAAAAGGAACTACAATGGAGACTATAGGTACATTAGGGTGTTTCGATAATAATAGAACCCTTATGATGGATCCCTTATAGTAACCCTTACAGACCCCTTTATAAAGGCCTAAGGTTTCTTCATCAGGTTCCTACATTCGGGTGTTTCCGAAAATTAGATGGATTGTCAGAGGTCTTTCAGATCGCCGGTTGCAAGCTACTGGCATGGTTGTCGGAACATCGGGATCAGAACCCCCAACAGAAGCTGGATTCAGAGAGACTCTTTGCCGGACCCTTGCAGCATACTTTAATTGTGGAGCATCCTTTAATCTTGGAACAGTTAAAAGAACCCGTATATAATGGCTTTAGGATCCATGAACACTCGAAGCCGTGAAATCTGTTTGCACTGTCTGTGGCTACTTTGATTGCGTGAAACATGTCCTTTTTGTGATTCAAGCTTAGGTCGGGAGTTCCCATATTCCGGTTCCTTTTGATTTCGGTTGACATCCCGGGGATGTGCCTTCTGTCAGCACCTATGAATACCGACGCTTGCTGTCAGCCTCGAAAGAAGGCAATGTAACAGCATATGCTATAGACTTTTACTAAGAAGTACCGACATCCGAAGAGCTCCGAAGAGAGTCTTGGTTTCAGGATCTGCATTCGGAAGCCCTGGAACTGCCCAAAGAGCATGTGATAACAGTATCCCCTAAACCCTAAACCCTGGAATCCAAGCGTTCCCAGCCTTCGCCATGGATCCACCTGCGAGCCAGCGAAGTCTCCCGCCGCAGCCGCAGCCGGCACCGAAGCAGCGATTGGAGGGGCGTCATGTACCCGAGGTGATTAAAGGGATATCGCGACCTTATTGGGCTTCATTATAAGGGGATGTATATGGGATATCCCTATCCTTATTTTTTGCTTATGTGCTTTTTGGGGGCCCTAGTGATGGTCGGACTTTACGAAGTCGTGCCTAGGGACCTTGGGCGCAGGTCGAGGTTTGAGTCTACCTTCATGGGATCTGCCCAGGTTGAGCGAAAGGCTAAGGATAGAGTGTACAGTGTACGGTAGCAGCCAAGGTTTGAGTGTGCGGGATGACAATGTGATGTATGTAAAGGGAGGGAGAGGACGCAGTACGGAGCACCATGGAACGGTAAAGATACTGAAGTGTCAAGAGCAGGCAGTTCATGAAAACCAAGAGCTACAGTCACGGTGTTGGCAGCGACCGTACAACTTCAATCAACTCGCATTGCTGTTAAGTGCCACAGCTGCAATCACCATCCTCGCCATTGCCATCAGCATGATCGACGGCACCATGAAAAGCCACAGCTGGGAGTATCGAACACGGACCCTTGCTAACACCCCCTGAAGCTATGCACCGAGTCGTAGGTGTCCAACCTCGACGCCATGTGCCTGGGCCCCTATCAGGCCTTGAGGCTTTTTGCGGGTGCAAAACTAAGCAGGCAGAGTGTGGGTCTTCGGGGGTTTAGGGTTAAGGGTTAAGGGTTCAGGGTTCAGGGTTTAGGGTTTATGGGGTTTAGGGTTTCGGGTTTAGGGCTACGGGTTAAGGGTTTAGGGTCTAGGGTTTAGGGTCTTCGGGTTAGGGGCTTGGGGTTTTGGGCTGAGGTTTCGGATTTTAGAGCTCTTTCGGATTGGCCCAGCTCCCGCGTGGTGGGAAGGACAGGTTCGAGGTGCCAGGCGCCAATGCCGAGGCAATCCGAGGCGTGTTATATATTCTAGTATAGTATAGTATTGTATAGTATAGTATAGTATAGAATATTATAGTATGGTATATTATAGGATATTATTGTAAAGTATATTATAGGATATTATAGTATAGTACATATTTCGTCAGCTTGTCGCATCTGTGGTGAGTAAAGCAGCCATGGGACCACATGGGACTATGAAACACACGATGCTGGACGAGTATACCCTGCGATATACTTCACGGGTCTGCGCCATCCTTCGGAACAAGATGCCGGATCACCTTCAATCTCAGTGCCTAATCCCGACACGAAGTCTCGATATCCGGATGGTAGAGTGTGGGGATAAGGGTTCAGGTTCAGGCCATCCCATCAGACCGCAATCACTTACACCCAGACCCAAGCGGGAGCTTCAAAACACAAGGCTCCAGCTCATATCCTAAATCGTAGGATCCTGAGTGCAAGGACCTCCAGAAAGGGACCCCTAATTCGAAGATGCCCCAAGAAGACACCTCGGTAAAAAAACGACTTCTACAATTCTGTTGAAAACTTTTGTAAACCTTTATGAGCAGGCGAAGAAAATCACAATATCAAGGGAGGCCCCACGAAGTCAGGTGCGTTTTGGGAGGCGTCGGCTGTTGGTACTTCGCGCGTGAGCAGCTGGGAGAGGCAGGGCGCCGGAGAGCTGCTTTCAAGCTTTGATGAGTTTTTTCAAATTTATACCATTTTTGATGAGTTTTTTCAAGTTTATACCATTTTCAACAAACATTAAACAGGGTCCTGCGGGTTTCTGTTGTGGAATTCTTGATGCTGTTTATCAGAGCTCATAGGCTTTAGGATTTCGGGTCTAGGGTTTAGGGCTTAAGGGCTGGAGCCTCGTAGTTCAGGTTTGCAGGTTTGTAAGGATTTAGGGCTCAGGGTTGGGGTTTTGGTTTGGGGGTTTAGATGTTTATGGAGGTTGCGGTGTAAGGTTTCGGGTGTAGGATTTTATAAGGGTCAAGTTGCTTACAGTAGTAGGGCGACGGGTTTGGAGTTTGGAGGGTTAGGCTCCAGGTAGTCCTTATGATCGGGACCCTGCTTTTGGTCTTACATTGGGGAACCCGAAAAGACATGTTGCGTGTAGTGTATGCTTGACCGGTTTAGGGGAAGAAACCCCACATTTTAGGATGATAGAAATGTAGTGGAAAGCCTCGGGCTGAAGAGAGTCCACTGTAACCAAACACATTTAGTTTGCATCCCATAAACCCGGCCTTAGCCTCAAACATGACGCCTGATTGCAGCATCCTGACAAGTTTATTGACAACAGCCAGAAACTCGCCAGAGCTGTCATAACTGTTTCTCGTATTGCTATTTGTGCCATTCTTGCGACGATTGCCGCTGCGGAAGTGGCCGACATCGTGATTGAGCTGATGTTTGTTTCAACTCCATTGAATACTTCCTAACACTTGGCACTCGCAACAGCATTGATCATCTCCAGCATCATGCCAGCAGCAACAAACATCGACAGAGTTCTATAGTCGCTGTGCATAGCCCCATGCCGCAAGCGTTAAAAGCCTCAAACCCCCAAATGGGACATTTCAATCCCTTGTAACAGCTGTACAAAACCCAACCAAAAAATGCCACGAGAAAGCACCGAACTCGAATCCTCATGGTTGGAGGCGTGGCTTCTTCGAATCGGCCCCAACATGCCGCTGAGTTGCAACAGCTTGCGTGTTTTGGGGCACAGGGTTTAGGGATTGAGGGCTTAGGGGTTTTAGTTGGGCTTAGGGATTGAGGTCTTGGGGGATTCGGGATTTAGGGTTTCAGGGTTTGGGTACTTCAGCTTTTCGCGTAATAGGGTCCGGGATGAATAGCAGAAATCGTGTCGTCAGCATGATCAACTGCCGCAGTGCTGCGTCCAGGAAGTACAAGGGATCCGAAAGAGTCGCCTTCTTACTTTAGTAGCTGAGTAGGTCCACCTTACACTTTCTCGAACAATATTACAAATCATAAAACTGAAAGTGTACACGTTTCAAGGGGTGTGAATTCAGCAACTAAGTCACAATGGACAGGAACCTTATGCACTCTGCATTGGGACCTGAGAAGAGACGCAGAATGCAGGCTCTTACCCGCAATGCATCAGACAAGAGGCGTGAAAGGCGCTTCATGCTGCAGACCCCCCCCCCCTATGTAAGAATCACCAGGTGGGTGCTTACATCGGTTGCCCCGGACTGCTTCCCTGTATTCTTTTCGCATCAGAGCTTGCAGCATTTGTTTGGTTTGGGGTGTATTTGGGTTTTGCGTTTAGGGCATACAGCAACTCCTCGACTTCGATTTGACTTCTGACAATGATATTGTAGTTCCGCAGCTTCAGCGACACAGAAATGCAGGTTAAAGCTCAGACGGGCAGGCGATTCGAGTCAGCTTTAGTGACTTTAGTGGCCATTCGAATGCTGCCGCAATATGTCATTGCGACAGAGGACTCCCATGGTATGATGGCCCCCCATCCTATAAGTCTCCATCAAGCCCAAAAGCGAATCCTGACACCTCCAAGCCAAATCCAAACCCTAAACCCTGAGCCGCAGAAAGGTGCTTCTCGAAGAACCTAGACCTGAACCGTAAACACGAAGTAACTCTAAATTACGGTGGGACCTGAAAGCCTAAAGGAATCAACAATGTGATTCCTTATCGTTCACCGCTATAGCCATGGTAGAATATGCACTCCTCACAATAGTTAATTTTTGGCCCTTTGATACTCAGTAGACCCAGGATAGGCTCTTATTCTTTACAGTAAGGGCCCTATATCAGAAAACCCTTCAAGTCGCCGTTATACACGTCTTTGAACAAAGCTTTAATAGAGAGCCCCCTTGCCCCTTTTGGGGGGTCCTTTGTATAAGAATCCTACTATATTAGGGTCCCTGATTTTCGGAAACTCCCATTTGGGGATTGAGGATACAAAAGGGGCTTTCATAATCACCTATGCTATTGTGGGGCTCCTTATTACAATTATAGCATAATGGGCCTATGTTAGGGTCCACCTATTTCTCGGAAACTCCTATGTGATTTGGGGATTTAGGATATATACTATAGGGGCCTCAATAATTACCTGTACCTATTTAGGGTACTATACTCGGGTCTCCTAATTTCGGAAACTCCTATATCTGAAAACCCTGAACCCTAAACCCGAAGCCCCAGACCCCTAACCCCTAAACCCTAAACCTTTCACGAAGTTGAGAGCAAAATTCCAGCGCTTCTTGGAGAAAGGGTGCACATCAACTAAAAAAAAACCAAACCGTAAACCCCTAAACCCCAACCCCTAAACCCCTAAGCCTGTTTTCAGACCGGTGCGGCTCCTGGGGGCCGCGCTGATGGCTTCCAGCGTCTCGTTGAGGTCAGAGACCGAGGGTTTATGGAGTTTAGACCCAGAGACTCCAATATCCCTTAATTAAGGAATATTCCTTAAATCATATTAAAGATCCTACATATAATTTAAGGTATATTCCTTAATTAAGGGATATTGGAGTCTCTAGGGAGATGAGGGGTGTAGGGGTTATGGGGTAGGGAGGGTTTAGGGGTTTATAGGGGCTTAGAGGATTAGGGTCCAGGGGTTTTGGGATTAGGGTTTAGGGGTTTTGGGGATTAGGGGTTTAGGTTTTGGGGTTCAGAGCAGGGAGCAACTTCGAAGAAGGGCTCAGGGCGATAGTACAGTGATCCGATTGTTGGAGCTTCTTGGAATCAGGGTTTCGGGCTTAAGGGTTTAGGGTTTAGGGTTTAGGGTTTGGGGTTTAGGGTTTAGGGTTTAGGGTGTGGGTTTGGGGCTGAGGGTTTTGATCGCGGGTTTGGGTCTTAGGGCCTCGATCGGGCTCGGGGCTATTGGAGCTTCGTGATTTAGGGTTCTGCGTCACAGGATAGCTCCTACATAAACATATGCATATACTCGAAATCTCAGCCCAAAGCCCGGGTCCAGTAATTGAGGGGCCCTTACGAACACTTCGTCAGGTCTTCGGCTTCAAGGACGTGATGTTGGGATTGTGAGGTTCTGTAAGTTCGCGAAGTCCTAAAGCCCTCGGAGCCATCGCAGCTGGAGGATTTCCGCCATGGAGTCCTTCCGCCAGCGCAAGACGCCGCTAAGCCACAAGCAGGACCCCGGATTCCGTTTACGGTTTAGATGTAGGGTCTATTGTGCAGACACTTGTTTCCGTGGCGTGCCCAGCACATGTAAGATCATCGCAGAACAGCGGGTTTGGGTACAATATTAGGGGGCGTCAGAAGTAGAATATGGTTTTTTGTGTATTGTAAATGGCCAATGGTTCAGACCGAAGTCACAGAACCCCTGATGAACAAAAAAATCCTATACCCTAAACCCTAAGCCCTAAACTACACAGAACCTTAGGGAGTCCCCCGAAACAGCTACCCCCTGAGCTGTAAAACCGCCCTAAACCCCTAAGCAGCCTCCCCGAAGGAGTCGAAGGTGCTGGTGACAGAGGGACCGTGACTGGCTGGATTTCAGGGGTAACTTTGGGTGGGGTTTAGGGTTTAGGGGTTTAGGGTTTAGGGTTAGAGCCTTAATGATGGGCTCAGGGGTTTAAGGTTTAGGGTTTAGGAGTAAAGCCTTAATAGTGGGTTTTGCGGTGTAATATGGGATTGAAGTTGGGGGCCAAGGAAAACAGAATAGATGGTTGGGTGTGGTATCTTAAAGTCATGCAGGGACGATAAGGGGATACGACTACCAAGTATCGAGAGCTGACAGCTGCTGTATCGAAGTTTCTTTACGACAAGAGACACTGTTTCGCTGTCATCGTAATAGAGATCATCCCACTTCCCTGTTGGGGGATCTTTGCAGTAACGATTCGACCCCTGCAATGCCTGACATGGCAGCGGGCTGAGGATAAGTAAAGTCGCTTTCTTCACGTGCCCTTGGACAGCCATCCCAAAGTGCAGCTTTGGGGAGGCTCTCTGGGAGAGTAACCAGCATCCCCTCAACCGCATCGTCACTGAATCTGAATTTGGGTGTTTATTTCTTCCGGGACGGGCGCACAAGTACCAAGTTGAAGGTTTGGGGCTTCAGGTTTGGGTTAGTCGGCCAAGTGAGTCTCCCCTTTGAGAAAGTGGTTTGGGCTTTCTAGTATTTCGGTTGCGGCAGGGCCACTGGAACTTTGGCATCTTGGAACGCGTTCTTATCTGCGGGAGGTTGTTATAGATTATAGATGTATTCTCGTTTCGGCAATGCTTATACTCATGCCAAGTCTTCCCGTCGCTAGCACGTAAAGCCAAGCTCTTCGCGATTTGGTTCGACTTCAATGGCTACCTCGAAGCAGCAAAGGTTCGCTTGGTCCAGACACCCCATGTACTTGAGCATGATGGGCAACATCAGCCGCTGGAGACAATAATCGAGGATTAGGGGGTTTCGGGTCCCAAAGAAGCACATCAGCAAAATTAGGATAGGGATATCCCATATAAACTCCCTTACATAGAACCCACTAAGGTAGGGATATCCCTATAAAATGCTTGTGCTTATGTGCTTTTTTGGGGTCCCTAAGGGTCTAAGCTTGGGAGCGTCTCGATCTTGGAGGTCAATATTATTACTATATGTTATTACTATATTATTACTATCTTATTACTACTCTTATTACTAATCTATTTATTTGTTTGGATCTGTAGAGATACAGGTCGATGCTGACTATGTAGGAATGTGCATCTCTCTCTCTCGCTCTAACTATTACGTATATACACATACATAGTTATGTGTATATACATACGAATAAATAAATAAGTAAATGAATAAATCGTATATATATATATATATACACACCAGTTCTCGAGAGTTGGAAGAACAGTTGGTTTTCCGGTTAAGGCTCAGAGCTCAATGGACGCATCTGCACGGCCGGAGGTGATCAGACTTCCGGCTTCGTATCCTGAGGCCTAAGCGTCTAAGGGTTGGCTGAAGCGTTCCTGAGGGCGGAATCACAAGTTTAGCCCTCCTAACTTAAATTAAGCTCTACGTAGTCTTGAACCCTAACTTTTACGCCCCGAGCTCCCAGAACCTAGATCCCCTAAACCCTAAACCCTACAAACTCTACCCCCAGGTTCGGTCGGCCTGATGATGAACTCCTGGTGGGGCGTCGCTGCCTGTCTGCCCTTCGCCGCCTACGTCCACTGCTGCGTCATACCGGGAGATACTCCGCTGCAACATGTTTACTCCCGAAGCCCCTAATATGACCCTAAGCCCTAAGCCCCTTGATTCGATCGGACCCCCTAAACCCCTCAATCCTCAACCCCCACACCCTTAAAACCCCCTCCCAAATCCCTGAGGCTACGTGGGGGCAGGGTCGAACATAGACGTTCGAGTAATTGGTAAGATGGCCCCCTTAAATCTTGTAGTCCTTATACAGTTGTACCATAACCTACCGCGTAACAAGCCTAAGTATCAAGGCCCATACACCATGTGTAGCAGATTTTCAACCTACATCACTTCATACCACTGTCGAAGTAGTTGTAATCCGACGTTGACTTAGCTATTGGGTGTGCTGTTTAGCATGCTGAGAAGCATCGTGCAATCGCATCGTCCTCGTGCTGAAACTTTTCAACGGGCACAAAAGGCAAAGAGATCGCTGAAAGGTAGGAAAACAGTAACATGGGTACGAATACCAACAAGACGACTGTCTAAACCCCAAACCCCATGCTAACGATTTGTTCAGCTTTGGCAAGCGGTCCTCTTGAAAGTGCAGCTTCGCGTGGAAGGAAGAGGCCTACCTTCGCGAACGCTTCGAGGGCAGCTTGGCCGGCCTCTCTCTCTCTCTCTCTCTCTCTATCTCTCTCTCTCTCTCTCCCGCTCTCTGGCTTTGGGTTTTTAGGCTGCCGGGTTTAAGGTTCAAGGTGTCAAAACCCATGAGCGCAAGAGATGAAATTTTCGGATGACCCATGAAGGTTCGAAGCCCCCGGCACTGGGCCGACCTAGGAATGTCGGTAGTAAAGTCGACGATCGTCGTCGACAGTGGCAGTGTACACGTGGGTAGTTGTCAAAATTTAGGGTTCCTAATTGGGTAGCCTAAATATTAGATGCCGTACTAGAATAGGGACCCACAAGGGGACCATGATTTTGACAACCACCCATGTGGATACAGCGAGCATGGAGTCTTCGATGATGTCCTACCGTAGCGACTGCTGAGCTTGAGCGAGCTGTACAAGCTAAGTCTTCTTACAGGTGCTTTTGCAAGGCTGCCCTGCATGCAATGCTTCCACAGCCCTGTCATGTCAGGCTACCAAGACTATGCCGACCGGACCCCAAAGTGGCTGCTGCTGTAGCAGGTGGCAAAAAAGCGCAGAAGCTTGAACCCTGGAACTTAACTTTGGCCTGCGCTGAGAGGCAAAATCCACCAAAAAGCTTTTCGACGTTGCAAGTAATTTAGCTTGTCATTCCCAGCATGCCCATCATCGCTCGTACAGTGTGCGAGATTACATCAAATCTCAAGCTTGTCGACCAGAAACCCTCAAACACTAGACACAGCCACTTTGCGCCAGCACCTATACTTGATGCTCAGCCTTTCGACCCCTCTTTGCACCAAGCTACGGCTCCCGCTTCCAACCGGCATGAGCTCCTATCACGCGCAAATACATTTGCCACACGCGACACAGTCCAAGCATGTCGAAAACTTTTGAGCCCATGACCACTTGGGGGTTCAGGGGAAGTTATAAGTGGGGTTATAATTAGGGTAACTATGGTTGTAACCCCCATTAGCGGACTTATAACCCCATTTATAACTACCCATGAACCTCAGAGCAGAGATTCAGGCCTAGAGCAAGAGCAGTCCTCCGAAGCCCTAAATCCGCCAAGCCTAAATCACAAATTCACCGTACCCCTGGCTGAACTCTCCAGGAAGCAACGTATGACACAATCTCAGCATTACTCTGAAATCCTTACCGAATAACTCATTGTGCATTGTGACGAGTGTCTGTAACTGTAGCACCTAGTGCTCTTATCACCATTCTCTCTGTTGGAACCACGGCCAATATTATCTTCTTGCATAATGCATAGTGTTACGAGCCCGCCCAACACCCCGACGGAGAGAAAGACTGCATAACCTCAACCCCCAGACTCCACTCCTCAGCCCTATAAGCCCTACACCTAAACCCCTATCCCTAACCCAACAAGCCCTAGACCTTACACGACTACGATACGCTCTGAACCCTGTCCCTATTCCTAAACGCTAGACCTTAATCCCTCAACCCCTACATCCTTTTGCCCTAAACCCTAAATTCTCCACCCATACTGAGACTGTCTGGTTCTTAGTAGGGAATGGGGGGGATTTGTTATTAGGACTACTCTTGGGGATTATAGAGGGGCTGCTATCCATTCCCCCTTTCCCTACTCAGCACCAGACAAAAGAAATCCCAAGCAACCAATCCTGAGGCCTGGTCGGTGATCCCCGGCCTCGCCACGATCATCCTCGCGAAAACCTTCAATCTCATCTTGTCCGCCCGGAAAAGTTTAGGGTTTGGGGTGTAGGATTTAGGGTTCAGGGTTTAGGGTTTGGGGTTTAGGATTCAGGGTTTGGGGTTTAGGATTTAGGGTTCAAGGTTTAGGGAGTAGTATAAGGTTTAGTTCAATCTCATCTTGTCCCACCGAAAAAGCCTAAGGTTTGGGGTTCAGGGTTTCGGATTGAGGGTTTAGGGATTATAAGGGTTATTTACGAAAGGCGCACTATACGAGTTAGCATGATGGGAAGGATTCAAGGTTTTAGGGTTTATAAGGGTCATTTACGAAAGGGGCACTATAGGAGCTACCATGAGGGGAATTACAAAGGGGTTCAAGGTTGGAGGTTTTGAGGGTTTCCGAGGTGCAGGGACACTGGTTCAAGACCGCAGGGTGCGCAGGAGAAGAGTTTAGGGCGTTCGAGTCTTTTGGGTTGAGGGTCAGCCGTGGTGGTCTGCGATTGTTCGCACTTTCCATCGCCAATAGTATTTACTTGACTTGCCACCGCAAACCGAGTTGAGCCCATCTATGCAAAACCGAGAAACACCACGCTCGTGCTCGTTGTTGCCAGGGGCTATGCCGACGGAGTCTACCGAGACCGCCTGTACTTCGCGAAGGACAGTAGACTTCAAAGCCACGAACTGCAGCCTGAAATGGTGCTGTGCATCAGTCTGTGTCGTTTGGATATTTACTTTCTGGCGCCCTTTGCGGTTCCAGATTGAGTGTTGCTCTCTCACGTACTATACGCGTGCTTGACCAAAAATATCTGCTTCACTTTAAAGACAGTCTGAACGAAGCCATTACTGTACTCCCGAGCTAGACTACATTCCTCAGGGATTCGGGCATTCAACACGCTCCAACGGCGGGTGTCGACATGATTACAACTACACTTCCCTCTCCTCTCCCGACAGCCGAAGGATTTGTCATACTTGGGTCGCATTTTATATGTTCATGAGTCCTTAAATTTGAACTTAATAAGGAATAACTAGACATCTGGATATTCAGAACTATCCTGACCATGAAAACTAGAGAAGAAGCCTCGCCGACCTTTCTCCCCGAGCAGTCCTCGAACTTTAGGCCCCGATGCTTTTACCCTCCATCCGTGTCCGCAGCTTTGAACTTGCATGAGGGTTGCTACATTGCCGGCAGATCTAAGGCCCAACGTGAGACTTCATGTGGTCGGCTGTGCGGAAGATAGATGTCGAAAGATACTGAAATGATATTTGTACTTGTTACTGTCGTCAGGCAGTCTTATCTCGATGATGATGGCAAGCAGCGTATCATCACGGAGTTAAGATATTACAATGACGTGACGACTGGATTTGCGTGCATTTATCGGTTGTAGAGTTGTGGGCTCAATAGTGGCTTCTGGGTCGGTTTCATGGCAGGGCTCGCGAAAGTCGACTCTCTGCCATCGCGATGCTGCATGCATGAGGACGAACGACTTGGTCGCTGCAGCGAGGGTTTCACGCACCTTGGATGTGCACTTGCTCACGGCTATGGTCACCCAGGCCGATTCAGCAGAAACGAGGCAAACATCGTAAGGGCCCTCGGTACCACCATTGGGAGGATCGTTTCTTCCAGCAGGGCGGTAGCAAGAAGCAGCAGAGCAAGAACTTACTGTACCGGATCAGAGTTACCTGAAAAAGAAGGCTCCTGGAGCACCAGGCTGAACAAGGGCCATCGCGACATGCAGTGACATAAGAAAAGGTTCAACTTTGTCTGGGTCTTGCCACTGCTTCGTGTCAAGAGACAGGAAAGGAGTTAAAGCCTTAAGCCTTAAGCCTTCTAAGTTTGATTGTTCCAGGGCTTCGCTATATACCACCCTAAACCCTCAAGCATTGACCTGCAGTCCTAAGCTTCAATCTCTCTGAGGAACATCCGTACACTGCGAATGCTCGCCTGGCCCTGAGACTTCGGGCCTCCACCAGCGGACACCGTTTCCACTGCTGTGCCTGCGGCTCTGTTGCGACTATCTGTATGTTGTTATCATGTGTGCATATGTAATCATATAACGATGTGCTAGTGCATATATGCACAGACGTGCGCACCCTTGTGCACATAACTACCTACCGACCCAATAGGTAGGTACCTGCATGCATAATACATACATATATACATATATACGGACAGACACACATACATGTGCAGACACGCAAGCACACAAACACAGTTGCCTACCTTCGCACAGACACGTGCACATACATTTTACCGGATGCAAAATACACGTTGTTGCCTGAATCGATTCGAGTTGCGGATCCCTGCAATGTTCGATCCCGGCCGGGCGGCATGGGATGTTTGCTCCAGCTACCTGCAACACCGGAACGACCCTACGAACCCGCTGTGCCAAGCCACGAAGCCCAACGAGCTGCTGATAGGCGTGGACTCCAGCATACCAGGAGGTGATCATGAGCGCGCGTCGCGAGGAGCCCATGTTTGATCATGGCTAAGGCTAAGGCGGCTAAGGACCTTTGGAGAGAGGCAGTAGACTTGAGGGTTCAAACACTTAATATCTAAACGGATTCTTCAGATTTTCGTTGAGGTCACAGTATTGCAAGCTTCAGCCGGAGCGTAGTTGCTCAAGTCGTGTTTAACATATCGATGACTGAACATGAGCCGAGGGTGCTCGGATCACATACCTGTCCATGTGATGGCAAGTGTGATGGCAAGAGGCTATGCGCAACATGTACGCACGTTCGTGGCATAGTGTGCATTGTTCCTCATTGCGGGGTAATTGCTTCAGCCATGGTGCCTTGCAAGTCCACTTTAACATCTTTACCCAACTAGGTGTGAACAGCACCAAAGAAAGGCAATAGACAGCTCAGGGTCTGAGTGAAAAAACATTTCGCACATCGGGAGTGCAGGAGGGGCGGGATGACCTGCCAGCGTCACCTCAAAACTGCAAATTGTAGCTTTTTCCGAAGGAGCTCCGAATGGCACAGATCAGGCCAGACAGGGTAATTATTCTGGTTTTGGATTATGGGTTGGGAGCTCACAGGACACGAGGCCTTGGTATACTTTAAGGTTATCTTTTTTGGATTTGCTGTCGGAAACTTCACCACGTCGAAGGTAGGACAACGGAGGCAGTTGCTGAACGGTCTTGCTTGACGTTTGCAGGCGCGACAAACCGAACACCAAGGCTCATATCCCCGTCGAGACCACAAGACACGGCTACAGATTCATTCCGAAGCCAGAGCCTGGGAGTGAGAGTATTTTACAAGTGTTCAACGCATGGTGTCTTTCTAGGTGCTGCATCCAACAACACTGTTCTACGAGTCGCAAGACCTGTCAGTGCAACGGGCTGGTCGTGGAAGAACTCGACATGTTGAAAATGTCGTTTGAAGTCGGAAGGGTTGCCGTTCAAAGCTCCTGATGCACGGCCTAACCGACTTGAGTCTGAGCCCTGAAGATCTTGCAGCTTCCTGCGGTGCAAAGATGACATGTCTGGGTTCTGCCTCGGCTTTTTGAAGACCTAGTGTTTGTTGCTGTTCCAAGATAGTTCTAGTTTTAGCAAGCACGGAGTCGCCTCCAGTAGGTCGTAAATCTGATAGCGAGGCAGTTGGTGTTCTAAAGGGCTTATAGTAAGTTTTACTACTGTATGTAGCCTGTAGTAACCCCGTATAGCTCCGTAGCATGGAAGCTCTCAGGTGTCACTCTTATAGCATAGTGGGCTCTTCAGGTATCCTGATAGTATGACTTAGCATGGTAGCCTTCAGAGGCACCCTCAAAGTAAGTAAGGCTTGTTCGGCCAGGCTTTGGTTGCAGAAAATGCCAGCGGCATTGGATTACGGCCTGACCACGCCGCTTCCCCTGTCACTAATAAGTTCAGGGG